TCAAGAGACTTCCATGGAGAAACAAATCAGCTTTTATATTAATTAGGCTTTTCCCAGGGATTTCTATGAACATGTAGAATAGTTATTTCCTACGCTATGATGTGCAGAGTGAACATGCTCCATGTGAAGTAGCAAACAGAGAAGTACAAATCAAATAGTTGGGTGTAACCAAACAGGCAAGAGAATCCAGCCTTGGTCAGAAATTGAGTGTACCACTATTTTCAGTATCCATGTAACCTGGGTTTCTGCTTCCTCGCCTCTGTTCTCATTCTAATATGAAGTCCTTATAGAAAAAAATAAGATGGGAAGGATGGCACGGGGAGAAGAGATGGGGATACTAAGAGAAAATGGCAGGAATGGAAGTTGAGACAGTTGCGGGGAGTGATAAAAGGGAAAGAAAAAGGCAAGATAATATGAAAGAGAAAGGAAACTAAATTTAAAACTTAAAGAAGTAAACCAGTTCTTTAAAAATTATATAACTTGCTGAGCATGTGAACTTTTGCCACTCTTGTAACACAACTCAAACTGACAAATATAACGTGCTGAGGCATAATAATACAATGTCCACCTTTATTTTTAAACTTCAGTTTAAACGTTAAATGTTTGTATATGACTTTACTTACTGGTGTCGATCTTAAGTAATTGTATCTAATGTATTTCTGAAGGGTTTTATAGCTTTGAGTTTTTTTAAATATTAGCTTTATGGATTGACTTTATATCATATATACATATAATGTCACTGGTCTTTAAATCTTTGTTTTTTTATTCTATTTAACAGCACAGCTGAGTTTCCTAAGTCCAAAAATGCCCAAACTATGAGTGAATGAAACTTTAACCTGAACACAGTAACCCTACTGAGATGACCTCCCTTCTCTCCCCATATATGCTAACCTCAGCTTTTATAGATTCCCACAATTTTAGACAGTCTGGAATACAGAAGTCCAAACTTCCTCCTTTACAGGAGAAAAAAAACTGTCAAAAAAGATTATAAAAAGTATTTCAAGCAATCATCAGTTTGTCACTAATAGGAAACCAGGAGCTTTCTAAAAGCAACCAAAATTATGGATGTACCTTAACTTCTGAGTTGAGGCATATCATTCCAACTCTACCATGCATCAGACACCCCATTCATTCACTTGCTCTCCCTTCACCTTCTGACAAAAGACAAACTGCTCCTGTTTCCTTAAATGCCAACCAAGTTCCAAACACTGTGGAACTGCCCTGTATATATTTACCCTGAATAGATTACCTCATTTAAGCTTTACAACCCTACATGTCAGGCATTCCCATTCTCATTTTCAGAAGAAGATATGCCTTGCCCAAAGTAAAAAATGCTACTAAGTGGAGATGCTCCAAATTGGAGTTTACCTGACCCCAATCACTAGTCTTGTCACAGCCGGACACTGCCTCTCGCACAAGCAAGATTTACAAAGCAATGAGATAGATTAAGTTGCCTAATATAGAAAGGAGTATCAGTAAAAGGACAACAGTCAGAGATGCAGCCTTATCTCCAGACTCAATCTCCAAACCACCCCCTTCCCTTTAATCAAATGAAGTTCTCATACCAGAAAAAGGTGTTTTGCATAAAGCACACCTGATAGATACAAATAATTTCAAATGACAGATTAAACACAGTAGTAATTCAAGCATAGGGACCCAATGATACCAATCTTGTCAAAGGACTATTAAAGGGTTTCTGATAATTATACTCAGCACAAATTCTCAGCTACTGGATGTGAGCCACAATTAGAATGACTTGTGTACAGAGATGGAATAGTAAGATCTGGGCAAAGGTTTTACTATAATCCTTGTTGTGTGTTCCAGCCACATGGAAAAGACCAACATGGGCATTCAAGAGAGATCACCTTGAGCTATGTTGCAATTAGATCCCTGCTTGTCTTTGTTTTGTAATAATGAGTTAGTGTTACTATAAAGGACTATGACGCCCTTTATATGTGCATTTTCCTTGAAGAAGAAACAGATACATCTGAGATTAGTGATACAGAAAAATGAGATTGTAACACAAATACTATGCCTACAAACACCAGGAGGAAACACTGTCCCCAGGTCCACACCAATGCTGAAAAGCCAAAGAAAGAAGGGAGGAAAAAGTCATATGCCATGGAGAAACCACTAGAAGACCTAGGTTAGCCTTGGTAATACATTTGCTCAATGTCTCATACCAAGAAAGTGAGGATTCAGAATAAAGAGTTCATTTCAGGACTGAGAAAGGCTTACAAGTAATCTTACCTAATTTTAATTCCAGAAGACGTGACACTTTTTCTCCTTGAGCACCCCTGTCTCTTTAAGAATATACTTTGAAAAAAATCAATAAAATTACAGGAATCCTCATTTGAATTGAAGCCAGTTTGTTGTATTTTGAGTAGAAGAGCTATGCTATGCAGACTCTGCCATTTTTCATGATGATTCATAAATAATAAATGAGGTACTGCTCGTAATTTGACATTTTACTGTTGTCAGTAAATATGTTGGGGTGGGGAAGAGTATATGTGAAAAACAGTAATAATTTATAAATCTAGATGAGATCTAGTTAAACAATTCTTTCAATTTGTTCATAGTCTAAATATCTTTAAAAATAATGTTAGAAGGAAAAAAATCACCCTAGTATAAAAACAAAACAAACAAAAGTTTTTAAAGTTTTCTGGTGGCCAAGGCACGCGCGCGCGTGCGCGCGCACACACACACACCCCCCCCCCGGATGTTCCATATTTAAAATAAATTTGGGATTTGTAAAGGCTAAACAAAATTAATAAAAGAGTGCCCCGCACTTAACAGGATTTTCCAATGAAATGGAAAGGAAATTATTGCTACAAAGATTCCCGGGGCTTTTATGAAATGTGAGACTTGCTATAAAAACCAGCAGGAAAAAAATTATGCAGGTTTACCTTTCGATTATGTGAACAATAATAAAGTTATGGGTTGGCTGTTAGCTGCTCCTCGCATCAAAGTGTTACACTTTTTTCATGACTAAACATGTATTACTTCCCTTTTGGAATGTTAGGTAAGACCAGCTTTCACAAGTTCCAACTTGAGACTGGCATAATATAGCTTAAGACTAATGCATAAAGGCTGCCTCACGTTAACTTTTTTGTTACTATACTAAATTTGCACTGCCAGCGAACGAAACACTGAAACACACCAAGCCAGCTGTTATGCTACTGTTCCGGGCATGTTGCTTATAGAGGTATTGGGAAAGGAAAAAGTGCATTCTATCCCAAGCCCACCTCAGGAGAAAAAGGGGGCCACCTACTGTAGGGAAGGAACATCACCTTACTTCCTACTTAACATCATCACACATAAAGTTAAAGATGCCTCATTATACAGGAAAATTTCACAGGCCCCTCACAAGCCCTTCTTCACACTTAGAAGAACCTATGATAACCCTTTCACAGTAGGCCCCTCCCTTTTTTAAAAATGTCTTTATTCTTATAACAGAAGCCTGTCAAATATCTGTCAGAATAAGCTCCCTACTAAGATTTTACACACATCACTGGAAATTTGGGGTGATAATCCTCAGTACTTGCAGCAAAGTTCTTTGCTCAACATACTTTTATGGGGGCCACAAGAGATGCTTCTCCCTTTGACTGATGCCTTTAGTACTTGACAGTTGTTCTGGCAGTAAAATGTCAAATTATGAGCAGTACCTCATTTATTATTTATGAATCATCATGAAAAATGGCAAAAAGGTCAACACAAGAATAAGTCTCCCAAACTGAAGTCTGCATAGCGTAACTCTTCTACTCAAAATACAACAAACTGGCTTCAAAATATAATAATAATAATACAAAAGAAAAGAAAAGAAAAGAAACTGGCTTCAAATGCTAAAAGTGAAATCAATGGGGAAGTACAAAATAGCACAGGGAGAGTCAAAACTAAATGAAGGATTGTTTGTAAATCTTCAAATTCTTGGCCGGGCGCGGTGGCTCAAGCCTGTAATCCCAGCACTTTGGGAGGCCGAGACGGGCGGATCACGAGGTCAGGAGATCGAGACCATCCTGGCTGACACGGTGAAACCCCGTCTCTACTAAAAAATACAAAAAAAAACTAGTCGGGCGAGGTGGCGGGCGCCTGTAGTCCCAGCTACTCGGGAGGCTGAGGCAGGAGAATGGCGTGAACCCGGGAGGCGGAGCTTGCAGTGAGCTGAGATCCGGCCACTGCACTCCAGCCTGGGCGGCAGAGCGAGACTCTGTCTCAAAGAAAAAAAAAAAAAAATCTTCAAATTCTTATAAGATTGGGCCATTATTAAGTTGGCTAATTGTTATTCAAACACCTTCCCTAGGACGAGCTACTTTTTCATAACATACTTAACCCACCCAAAGCAGAATGGAAAATAATAATAATAATAAAATTGTAGGTGTCTGTTTTTGTATAGTTAGGAAACAGGAAAATACAAAAAATATAATTTTCACACCCAACTCTTGATTTTTAAGTTAAACACCCATTTGTTTTTCTGTAAAAACATAAGGAAAATCAACTAGTTCGTACACATTATTTCCTTAAGAAGACATTAAGCAAACACTACGCAATACCTATTACAGATTCACTAACTTGAAAAACGTTTTCGTTTTTGATTATTTTCATTAATCTTCATCCACGATAACAGGTTTTGATTCCATTTGATGAAAATATTTTTAAATTTATTTAAATGTTGCATTCAAGAAAATATCAGAATCTTTGAGATTCTCATCTGAAAGCACAAAAATTATTTACAAATCAGAAAAAGTGGCTGAGCGTGGTGGCTCTCGCCTGTAATCTCAGCACTTTGGGTGGCCGAGGCGGGCGGATCATGAGGTCAGGAGTTCGAGACCAGCCTGTCCAACATAGTGAAACCCTGTCTCTACTAAAAATACAAACAATTAGCCAGGCGTGAAAGCCCTGTAATCGTAGCTACTTGGGAGGCTGAGACAGGAGACTCACTTGAACCGGGGAGGAGGAAGTTGCAGCAAGCTGAGATCATGCTACTGCATACCAGCCTGGGTAACAGTGTGAGACTCTGTCTCAAAAAAAAAAAGTGGGGGGGCTATGATTATATAACTATATCATTGTTGGATACTTTTTTAAAGGAATAAAATAAATTGCTTTATGTTAAAGGTCAGCATTCAAAGGAGTCAGTGAACCCAGCCCCTGAATAATTTAACATATTTTGAATATTTATCATTGTGTATGTGTAAAAATATGTCTATAGATTTCATTAGTTTCATGAATAAGACTACAGGCTTCCAAAGTTATCAATTACAACAATAAACACATTTTAATTTGTCTTTAAATAATATGTAGAGTAATATTTTCAAAGAATTCCTGTCATAAAGCATCTTCTTATTCCTTTTAATCCAAAATGTAATTGGTAGGAAGACTGCAAATACATGTTTTCTAGATAGCAATAGAAAGCTGGAAAAAAAACAAAAGACCTAAAAATTGGATCTGATGAAGTTAGTAGGCCCCAACCTGAGACTTCATCCCCCACTCCTTAAGCAGACTTCTGGCAGTCTAAGCTCCAGCCCTCTGTGTTTCCTTCAGGTGAATCACCATCTGATTCCTGCAGGTTCAGGAAATACTCTTCCCCAGTCGACAAATCTCACCTACTCTTAGTTATGAGTCATTTACATTAGCAAGAGAGCAAGTTGTTCCAGTAGTTGCCGGGCAGGAGAATTTGAAAGGGTGCCCCAAAGGACAATCTCTAAAGGGGTAGGGGAGATACCTACCTTGTCTGGTAGGGGAGATGTTTAGTTTTTATGCTTTACCAGAAAATCCACTTCCCTGCTGACCTTAGTTTCAAAGCTTATTCTTAATTAGAGACAAGAAGCCTGTTTCAACTTGAAGACACCGTATGAGGTGAATGGACAGCCAGCCACCACAATGAAAGGTAAACAAAAAATTTTTCATTTTCTTAAAAGCCGTGGTTGATAAGACACAGCAATGATTAAAAACTGTAATTATACTTCTGCTTAACTCTGAGGTCTGAAGAAAAAGTAGAAATTAGAATGCTGACAATAAGATATGAGGCACCACTGTGAGCCACGAAGCTTCAACTGTTTCCAGCTCAGGCAGGCAGAAATATAAACTACACATTGTGCCTTCAAAAGTAGAAACAATGTTTTGGCAATCGCTCCTATTCAGTACATTTTTTTTTAACCACATTTACTTTATTAGATGAGGAAAAGCCAAAGTGTCTTATAATTGTTTCCCAGGACCCAAAACTTGAAATTTGTTTCATAATCGTTTATCTGGTTTTTTTTAAAGAGAGACAAAAAAAGATTTTTCTCTTTCCCAATTGTCTCATTTTGATAAAAGAATCTCAGTCTTTTCACTGTACCACAAAGAACAGGGTAATCCTCATTTTGATCCCTGGAGAAATCGTGTTAAAACATGTCAGGAAAGGCACTGAGAAAACTGCCCAGTGACTGACAAACAGGTTAGAAACAGCTTACTTTTGTTCCACATTCAAACTGTTCGGGAAGTTTTCACTGCAGTGAGAAAAACAAGAAGCAAGCATGGAGATCTCACTTCTTTTAAATTTTAATAAGGACTTTTAAAAGGTAGATGAGCCTAAAGTAGAGTGACTTTTTGATTTCTTATTTTAAGATTTATCTGCTATAGAATTTTATATCACATTCTCAAGTTGAATCTGCTTTCATGTTAGGTATATTAACATTTTTAACAAGAGATTTCTTTCATAATTGTTCTCCAATTTACTAGCAATATGAATAGCAATAAATCTGGTTCCATATTACTTTATACTGGGGGAAAAAAGCCAGACACCCTGTTGATATTTATTATTTCTGCCAATTGAGATTAACTATCTCCACGAAGTTAGGGATCAAAGAGGCGTATTTTCTTAATCCTTCAGCAACATCTCATCCTCAGACTCTTGTTTCTGACATCTACTTGAAAAATGTTGCAGGTATACGTGGGTTAAGGACAAGGGCCTAGAAGAGCAGATGGATGGCTGAATTTCCTATTTAAGGATATAGCCTACAAAAAGAAAGTATCCCGCCGGAAAATCTTTATTTCATGAAGACACTGAGAAAATGCCCTAACCAGAGATAACATGCTAAGAGGATTTACTGCATTTAGAGATGTGGGTGGGAAAAGGAAGACTAAGTTAAAAGGAATGTTCTCATTTAGAGTTGTGCTGTTTGTGCTCTTCAGAGTCTGCCTGCTTTTCTTCCTTAATATCTTGGCATTTGACTCTCTTTAAGAACAACAACAACAACAAAAATTTCATGCTTAGCTCTTTACTCTGAGAAAATGCCACAGAAAGTTAAGATAGATGAGACCACAATGGTCATTAGTTCTTTGTATGCTCCTGAAATAAGAAAAGTCAGAAAAACCCATTAAAATCCCTCAAAGCCCAATAAAGGGTAAGGTTGTGAAGACAGGACAGAAGTGAGGTGAGATCTAGGTAAAGTCACCCCCCTAGAAGCATCCCCCAGTCTCCAGGGTAGATGTTCTCTATGCAGGCATGAGGCAGTAGTTTGGGTTTAAAGTAGAAAGCCCAGGACTCATAGCAAAATGACCTGGGTTTAAGGGCTGATTGTAAAAAATATTATCAGTGTGACTTAGGCAAGTCTCTGAATTCCCCAGGAGCTCACTTCCCTTCCTCACAGGTAAAATGAAGGGATTAGATCAGATGGTCATAAGAGGCCCCTTGCATCTCTAGATTCCCACGATCCAGGCGATATGCTGAGATGCTGGGGTTGGTAATGAAAGAACCTAAGGCTTGGATCAAGCATACAGGAATGCTTGAGAGGAAACGGGGTAGAGCCACAAATTAGGTCCTTCCCAATTCTGCCCCTAGCCAGCTACATGATGTTAATCAAATCTCGACTTCTCTAGGTCTCAGATCCTTCCTCTGCAAGATTAAGATGAATGTACTATTTGCTCTTCCTACCTGGCTGAAAGTTTTATATTAATATAAGTATTTATACAAGGGCCAGCTGCAGTTTTTATACTTGTAACTATCTACAGGAGGGCGGCAAGAGCAGAAGTAAATGTGATGTGATCCTGTTGTTAAAAACTAGATGAGAAGCACCCACCTCTCAGACCTTCTGCTTCAGGCCAGTGGTGAAAGACAGGCTCTATCTGACCTTACAAAGATTATTAAACCCTCTACCTCCTTATATGGCAAACACAGGCAGATTAGAATATTTGTTCTCTATCCTATACCTAATTAACATATTTTGTTTCATTAATATTCTTATTGGCCAAATATAAAAAAAATTACACTAAAATACACTTAAGGGAGAGCACTGATTAAGTTCCATCTAGTATAAGTCATGACATTAAGTCATTCATATCAATGATTCTATGGTTTCTCTTAAACAGTAATTTCTAATGATTTCCATCATTTTAAAAGAAGAGCAAAACACCTTAAATGACCTTTTCTAATGTATTAGATAGGATCCGTATGGCACAAACTGTCCGTCTATTCTTAATACTAACACAGTAATAATTAGCATACACTGATAGCTTTATATGTGACAAAATTACTGCATATTTTATCAGGCTTTTTTTTTTTTTTTTTTTTGAGACGGAGTCTCACTCTGTTGCCCAGGCTGGAATGCAATGGCGCGATCTCAGCTCACTGCAACCTTCGCCTCCTGGGTTCAAGCGATTCTCCTGCCTCGGCCTCCCACGTAGCTGGGATTACAGGCACCCGCCACCACGTTCAGCTAATTTTTGTATTTTTAGTAGAGCCGGGGTTTCACTATGTTGGCCAAGATGGTCTCAATCTCTTAACCTCATGATCTGCCCATCTCGGCCTCCCAAAGTACTGGGATTACAGACGTGAGTCACCGCACCCAGCCTTATCATGCTATTTTTTTTTTTAACTCAGACAACCTTAAGGTGTAAATTACTATTATCCACTTAAACAGCTGAGCAAGCTGAGGCTTAACGAGCATACCAGTAGGGAGCAGAGCTCTGACCTTGAAACACTGCCTACAGTCAACCATGCTCTATTTGCTGTTACTTCTTTTTGTGGGTAGTTACATATGTAAAATGATTTAGACTTATTGTATATTTACTGTACACTGGTATCATGGTATAGACTACAGGAGATAAATGGCCATCTTGGGTGCATGATTCCCTGCAATGAAGTTGGAGCTATTTTAACTTGCTAGTTTTCCCAAAGGAGGCATGAGATGCTAATCAGATGCACATGAATACCAAATTTTTGTGCAGGCAGTAGCAGAGCGGTAGTTAGGAGCACAGCACTGACATGGACTTAGGTTCTGTTCAAATCCAGGCTCTGCCGCTCATTAGTGATGTTAATGAGGGCAAGCTCTAGCACTCCAGCGTCAGACAGCACGTATCTGCTCAAAGAACAAATAGTGTGTGCAAATAGCCCAAGTATACTGTACTCCAAGTAGTCTCTCTAAGCCTCAGGTTTTTTACATCTGAAAAATTAGAGCACTAATTCTTACTATCCACTCAAGTACCATGTCAATACTGACTTATTACTACATGTCAAGTTTGAATGAAAGGTCTGTGCTGTGGTAATACTTCTTTCAAAACAATCTTATGAGGGCTGTTTTACAGAAGAAGAAAAAGGCACAGAGAGGTTGGGTAACCTGCCCAAGTAAATGGCAAATCTGTAATGTGAATCCAAAGTCCTTTTAATAAATTAAAATATACATAGGTAATTTAGAACATTCCTAGGCACACAATAATACTAGTCAGCATTTCGGGAGCTCTTTTACTGTTGTTGTATGTAGCAAGATAGACACTTACACTTCTCAAGCTCCCGGAGAAGGGTTTTGCCCTGTAGCCTAAGAGGCGCTCAGGTCAAAGATATTACTGGCTCTTGACCACCAGAGCAACTCTCTGGAGGACACAGAACAAAGTGAAACTTTGTTTTCCAAGTCCTTGAGTCTAGAAGGTACCCTTTATTGACTATATCAAGATTCGGAATGTCTCCGAAGCAGAGGCCAGTATACCAAAAGGGCAGCAGAAACAAAATGATCCGAAGTCCCTATACTAAAGGAGCTTATCATCTAGTTGAATAAAGAAAAATGTTAACAGAATACTTCAGCTGTTTGCAAATATTAGAGTACTAAGCTCTGTGGCTCTCAGGCTGAGAACTGAAAAGAGAGATCCAAGAAAACAATGCATATATATCTGTTGCCTCTAGACTGTAGGCATTTGAGAATTTGTTATACTCTTTTGGGGGTGGATGACCTACCTGTCCAAACTTGTTCCTCCTCAGACCTGCTAGGCCCCAAAATTATAAATAAAACTGAAAATAAATCACTGGGCCTTTCAAACTTTTTTAGATAAACTGGCTCCAAGACAAACTGAGAAAAACTGCAAAATTAACTGTTTTTGTTGTTGTTGTTTTTGAGACGGAATCTCGCTTTGTCACCCAGGCTGAAGTGCAATGGCGTAATCCTGGCTCACTGCAACCTCCACCTCCCAGGTTCAAGCTATTCTCCTGCCTCAGCTCCTGAGTAGCTAGGATTACAGGTGCCCGCCACCACGCCCAGCTAATTTTTGTATTTTTAGTAGAGACAGGGTTTCACCATGTTGGTCAGGCTGGTCTCCAACTCCTGACCTCATGATCTGCCCACTTCAGCCTCCCAAAGTGCTGGGATTACAGGTATGAGCCACCACGCCTGGCCTAAAACTGTTTACTAGATGTATTTATATAGAAAACAGTGCTACATATCATGATGAAGCAGAATGTGGCTCACAGTAATATGCAATCCTTAAATAATCACAGCTACAACTGTATTCTAGTTGTCTCACCCAAGCATTTTAAAAACCTAAAAAATGAAAACTTTGAGAGGATAATGGCTTGCATTAGGTCAAAATGGTACATGCCTATATTATATATAGCAAAACAAATTAATAGAAGAATAGTAA